AATCGGAGAACAGTGGCTCCTGCTTGGAAGCAAGAGCCCAGTTAATTTGCTGAATGTTAAGCCTAAGGCAGCAGGTGGTAATCTGGAAGATGCATGTGAAGAAATCAAGGGAAAAACAAGCAAACAAACAAGTCACAGACAAAATGGCAAGGTGAGCGCAGCTCTACCAGACGGTCAGCTGCTGACGGCTAATGTAAGGAGACAAGTCTGGTGCACCTGCGGCACTTGAGAGTCAGCACAGAGTTGTAGATAAACATTGTTGCAGTAAAACTGTCCATGTTCATTTAATGGCAAGAACCTCACCCGGAGCGCTCATGGGAAGCAGCTGGTAAGATCAATAAGGGGACAAAAATTCAAACAGAACTTGGAAACGAGCTTTCAGTTTACTGGGAGACGAGCTTGTCTGATCAAATGCAGTTGGGCAACATTCAAAGAGCAAAATAGATGCTGTGTTACAAATCTGTAAATTCATATAAAACTGGTCTGTCGCATTAAGGGCTATGAAATGCTGCAGTTACAAATAAGTACCCAACCAGACAGCACAAAACAACAGCTGGACAAAGGGAAAAAATGGGCTTGAAAACCAGAATCAGAACTGTAAGGGAAGTCCCAAACCTCTTCTTGACACCTACCCTCATAAGCAGCCTGTGAGGAGCCTGCCTGAGGAAAAAGTGACTAAAGCCCATTTCTGAACTCGTAAAATAGACATTTAAATCGGTGCTTCCAGAGAACGAGTTAGAGCATCGAGAGTCCCTGTAGAGCCTTTTTATTTTAGCCTGTACATGCCTCACCAGGGACCAACGCACAATCTCTGTCTCTAGCACGCTGCCCTTTGCTTTGTGCAGACCAGGTTTAAATCGAAAAGGGATTAATACCATCATGTGGGAGGTCCTTCCACAGCCTAATCCACTTCATTATTATACAGATTCCCCTGCCTACCAGTTCTTTCTTGTATTTCATCCCACTCACTACACCCCCCCTAAAATTCCCCTCCATGGAAGAGCTGCACACCAGTGCTGACCTTCCATTTTTCTAAAAAAGCTTACTGTCTGTTTGGCATCGCAGGATGCAAGAGCTTTCTATATACAGAGGGTAGAGCAGTGATCCTCAGGCTGGGAGTGCTGAGAGAGCCTTTTAAGGGTGTTGCTCAGTATCAGATGTGCAAACACCTACACGATTCACAAAATAAGCCAAGAGATTTCAAATAGGAATCTAGTGTCAAAAACACTGCGACCTACTGTGGTCTTTGAGTTCTTTGCAACAGAATTCCTGCCCCGCCATCAAAACACAAACAGAAAAAATACCCCACAAGCAAAACCTAAGAGCTGACATTTTTTGAGTGGTGCTTTGAGTCTAATGAGGTCAAGAACCACTGGATCAGTATGGTAGGTACTTTTTGTGATAGCTTTTAATTTGAGAACCTCCACAAGTTCCCCTTTCTTGTAAAGGCTAAAACAGAAGACAAGCATTACCAAGCTTTATAAAACTTTTCCAAGAATCCAATTGCTTGCTAATGCCCTTTTATGTTGTAATTTCCAGTAAAGCAAGGCCATACTTTTAAAGCTTTGCCTAAATCTAAGTTTCTAGATGCACACATTTGAAAATGTTGGTTCATTTGACCCAGAAAAGCATTATACATATAATCTAAAACATATTAAAGCTTACGTCAGGTTTCTAAAAAGAAAGGCTTAGATTCTTCTAATGTTTTAAAACCAAAGTGATAGTGTAACAAAGATGGGAGGACAAATGCAGAACTAAAAATAATCATAAAGATTTAGATACGTTGCAGTTAAGTGAACATTGTTACAAAGGTGGCAAGGATTTTGGGGGAAGCGATATCCTTCACTGTATAGCATTATTTGTCTGATCTAAGGCGGCAAGGCATTCTTCATATCACCGAAAGATATCTTGCAGAATTCCTGGACTATTATGGCCACATCACTTTAACACTACCATTGTTACAAAGGCAACAAAGATAAAAAACTCCCATAAAAACAAAAAGCTGGTTTAAATTTTAAACTGCTGTGGCTGTGATTTTCATCTGTTCTTTGCCTGCGGCCCCCACATGACAGCTCCACGTTTAAGCTTTTTATTTATGAAGACAGAAAGTGAAGTGAGGCACACAAGCTAAAAAGGACAACAAAAAAAGGAGAGGAAAGCTACGCTCATAAAAGATGCAGTTAGAATACAGAAAGTCCAAAGTCTGAAAATACATAATTAAAAACAACAACTTCGTTTTGAGCTTCTCACATCCTGAAGCTCAGTTGTAACCTCCAAGGGTTTAGGATGTCACCCCAAGTACAACAAAATGTTAAGCTTGGTGCATAATCTGAACCAACTGCATCATCTTTAATATACCATAATTCACTGACGGCATACACAACTCACGCTCTTCTCATTAGCTGAAAAAAAATCACATCACTGAGTTTGCATTGTCCCCTTCAGCTATTAGATGATTTATTGTGTGGCAGCAATTCAAAAATAATGTTTGCACTAATGCTGCTTTCACTTTCAATTGTATATTCTTCCACCCGCATTCACCTGTTAGTACAGGGACTGTTTACTCTACTCACGAAGGGCCAGAAATAGCTCTGCCCGAATGTAGGCAAGTCATATCTGAAATCTTCCTCTGTACTATCAGACATTTGCCATACACACTAGAAATCTTTGGTTGTAAATTTTAAAGTAGAAGTGGCCACTGGTTACTCCAAAAGCATTATACTTGCTAACAGTTAAGATCTTGTATACTACTATAATGGACTTAATTTGTGTGATTACTTAGAAATGTTACAGTAACACAACTCTGTGTCCTACACTTCAATTACCAAGACTCAAAAGTAGAAGGTACCCCAAAAGGCCAATGCCCAGAAAGAGATGTAAACTCCACAAAACAGAACAACAGATGAAAAATAATGAAGTAATAGAGCTTAAGGATCATGAAATCCTGTTACAAACCATTCTGTACATGCACTTTCACCAGTGTCATCTCCTCCATATGGATGCTTGGCATAGTAGCTGGCTGGGTCAAGATTACAGATCATAAAAGCTGCACTTCTCTCCATATGGCAGACAGCACTGAACTATGCAGGGAATCAGGAAGAATGGAAAACTAGATGCTGTAATACAAATCCTTCAGAACGCTTAAGCGCAAGTGTCACCAGCGACCAGAACTAACAACGGGGAAGAGCTGCATTTTTTTTTTTGTTTAAAAGAAAACAAACACGTTTTATGGATCAAAGTAAAAAAGTACAATGGTCTGTTAAAGTGTCCTTGTACTATGGTGGTGGTCTATGACATTGTTTCATTATACTTGCAATTAATATCTGATCACAGGAAAATTAACAACATTTGAGTCTCTATTTCCATTAAATATTTCTGTGCAAAGAAAAAGGAAAATAGGATGGCTTCGGTCATGTTATCAAAGTACTGAACTGCATTTTTCTACAATACCATTCACTGATTTAATTCTCTGAATAAAAGGCTCTGCCCAAGAAAACCGTCATCCACCCTCTCTGTAGTGTATGCCACTTAGAATAATAAAAAATGCTGCACATATTGATCATACCGAAAACCAAGTTATTTGCATAAATTAGAGTTTATTAAAGCCAAGGTACAAAGTTGTTGGGGTAATATACAATATTGTTATTGGTGTTTTATGTTTCCACAAAGTTGAAGTTAGAGTTTGCATTTCTCTGATGAAATTTTAGAACTAAAAAGGAAAGTTAGTAGGTACAGTTCATGGAGTTAAGGGGTTGGATTGGATAGCTTCTTGAGGTCCTTTCCAGCTCTATTTTCTTAGGATTCTAGGCACTATTCCAGCTAGAGATGAAGAATTCTCCAAATCCTTGAAAAGCATAACAAATAACAGTGCTCGTTTGCGAGTCTTAAGGCAACACTAAATACAAGAGCTGGTTCAACTAACTGTAGTGTATAATGAGGAAGTATCTCTTTACAGACTTTTAGAGCCCTGTAGCGGTGCTCGCTGTTCTGTTTTAGAAGCCATCAGAAACCAAAGCACCAGTACACACTGGGTTAGACCTTGTATGTTTAGCTATGTACTAGTAAATGCAGTTATGAGGGAGCCACTTACTATTTATCTTGTTGTGTAGCAACCACAAAACCACTGAACCTAACACATTTCAATAGTCATAATTCAATTAAGCAATCTGAACGGTTATTTATCATGGAGAATTTTCTACAAATTTATTTTTACTTTGATGCTTTTAAAAAACTGGTCTCTGAACTGGGGACAGGGAGCAGCAGAGATGGACCTAGGAGCCCTGCCACGCCTGGGACCAGTGGTGCTCTGTGCACCTGGCCGCCAGCTGTGCAGGCAGGCATGAACTACAGCAGGCTCCAGCCCTGCCTGTGAGATGAACAGCAGTGGCAGCCAGCAAGCCATGCTCTGGCCTCTCTGACCCTCGTCTTCAGGGCAAGTGCAGAGGGACTTGGGCAGTTGTTGCCAAGACTGAGCCACTCACACCTCCACCTACCTGGGACAGAGCCAGGCCATGGCATGGCAAGGGACAGGGACCCCAAAACGGCATGGGACACACAGGGGACAGCTCTGCCCTCCATGATAGCGAGAAGCAGCCAGGCTGAACACAAAAGCCTGGGGCACAGGGGAAACACCCTGCTTGCGAGGGTAGGGGCAAGGGGGCATGGTGCAGGTGATGGGTGGATGAAGAAGATGAGCCTGAGCAAATGCAGTGGGGGCTGGGCTGGGCTGTGGCAGCCAGCTTCAGGCAAGCTACAATGCTAACCTTCAGGATCTCCCATGCATACAGTTTGAGCCTCACACCAGCTCAGGCCACTTGTCCTACAGTGCTCTGAGGAGCTGGTGCCTAGGCAGTGGCTGTGCCAAGCTGAGCGTGCCACCGGGGCAGCTGGGCTGGCTGGAGCTGCCGCCTCTTGGCCTGGTTCAGGGGCTGGCGTCCCGGGGCCATTGCGCCCTGGCAGGCTGCACGGAGCCAAGGCAGGAAGGGAGCAGGCTAGGCGTCTACAGTAAATGACTTTTATTTAAAAAAAAAAAAAAATGAAATAACCGTGAACATATTAACAGGCCTGCAGGTGGCACTACAGTACAGCTGGATATAAGGTAGATACATTTCCCCATGTACCCGGACAATGAAATCCACCGCATCAATGCTGACATTTAGTTAATTCTGAATACAGTTCTATCAAGCAGGAACGTTTTACTTAAAATAGTTCTGGACAAAGCTGATATCTGAAAATTAGTTTTCCTTCACTTCTGGAAAGGAAAGAAGCCCCGAGCTAGCACCAGCACCGGGTGAACTATTGCCTGGCATTACCAGTGCAGGAGGAGATGCACAACATCTCCAAGTCAAAACAAAGTTCATGCCCCTTTTTACTTCTCATTTTGAGGAAACTGGAAGGGGAGGGTCAATTTCTTTTAGCTCTCCTTTGGCTGATTTTGTGCTATTTTGGACTGATTTCTACAAATCATTTATTGATTTTATTGAAAGGAAGACTAAATGTAATGTGCCTTTCCTTGCAAATCCAGGAACAGTTGTGGTATTTCAAAAATACTAAAAATATCTACTTTCATGAAATATTAACTGTTTCACTACAAACCTAGTTTTTCACTAAATACACAATTCTCCTAATTCTGGAGCCTCCTGGGAAAAGCAGTGGGTTCTCCCTGTATCTCTGCAGTTCTACAGTGTATAAACGGCTACAAGAAGGGGAGTGTGGAGAACAGCTTTATCCCTTTTCCTTGGCCTGTATCAAATCACACTAGGAAGGATTAGCATGTATGTTTCTGCATTTGGGCTCCTGTTGGTCACACTTCTGCAGCAGCTATCTACTTAAGTCTGCAACAGGATACCCCACCTCCAGCACATTCCTTCTAATTTCTTGGAGACTAACTAGGCATGAGGAAAAAAAATGTCACACTCTTATACCATTTCTAATTATAATATGCAGGAACACCATGTGGTTTCCGTGCAATTCCAATTCGCAGAAGGCCACAGGAAAGGGAAACGGCACCTTTCTTCAGACAGGAATTCTGCAGGTAACAGTGCAACTTCCCATTAGACCTTCAGTGTTGAGGCAGCGTAGAAAACAGTGGCTGAAGAGTGTGTGTAATACTGACCACACTAGCTCTTAGTGAGAGGCTTCTGCTCCCGCAGAGGCAGTCAAGTGCAGTCCCTGTATGTACTGTGAGCAAAGGCTTACTTCACAGGGGATTCAGAATTAGCAACTCCTAAGACCTAGCCAGTTTGGATTCGTGAGCCTTCAGTGTGCCAACAGCATCTTTCACTGCATGGTAGATAATGTTCTTCACCTAAAACAAAAAACAAACAGCCCCCACAAAAATCAACACATACGATTAAACAATCAGCAGCATCTTCAGTTTAACAAGAAATTAACTAGCTCTGCTTGCTTCAAGCTGTGGAAGTAAACTCTGGCAATTGGCTCTATAGCCATTGGAAGATAATCACACAAAGGAGTTGGTCATTGACCAAAGGATATTGGTCTCAGAAATCGCAGAAAAGGAGGGCTGGAAGGGACCTCCGGAGGTCACATCTAGTCCATCTCCCAGCTCAAAGCAGGACCAGCCCCAACTACATCATCCCAGCCAAGGCTTTATCTACCTGTGTTTTGAAAACCTCCAAGGATGGAGACTCCACCACCTCTCTGGGTAACCTGTTCCAGTGCGTCACCACCCTCCTAGTGAGAAAGTTTCTCCTAATATCTAACCTCAATTTGCCTTGCTGCCTTATTCTGTCATCTGCCCCCACTGAGAACAGCCCAGCCCCATCCGTTTTGCAGCCCCCTTGCAGGGAGCTGAAGGCTGCTATCAAATCCCCCTCAGTCTTCTCTTCTCCAGACTAAATCAGCCCAGTTCCCTCAGCCTCTCCTCACCAGTCTATGCCCCAGCCCCCAAACCATTTTCACTGCCCTCCACTGGGCTCTATTTGTCCACATCTTTTCTGCGGTGGGGGGCCCACAACTGGACATGGGACTCCAGATGTGGCCTCCCCAGTGCTGAATAGAGGGGAA